ACTCAAATCAACACCCATAATACTAGGTTAATATAGGAGTAAGCTATCTCTGTACTCAAATCAACACCCATAATACTAGGTTAATATAGGAGTAAGCTATCTCTGTACTCAAATCAACACCCATAATACTAGGTTAAAATAGGAGTAAGCTATCTCTGTACTAATATCAACACCCATAATACCAGGTTAAAATAAGAATAAGCTATCTCTGTACTCATATCAACACCAATAATACCAGGTTAAAATATGATTTTAACCTGGTATTATGGGTGTTAATATGAGTACAGAGATAGCTTACTAAGAGTAAGCTATCTCTGTACTAATATCAACACCCATAATACCAGGTTAAAATAGGAGTAACCTATCTCTGTACTCATATCAACACCCATAATACCAGGTTAAAATAAGAGTAAGCTATCTCTGTACTCATATCAACACCCATAATACCAGGTTAAAATAAGAGTAAGCTATCTCTGTACTGTGTCAACACCAATAATACCAGGTTAAAATAAGAGTAAGCTATCTCTGTACTCAAATCAACACCCATAATACCAGGTTAAAATAGGAGTAAGCTATCTCTGTACTCAAATCAACAACCAATAATACCAGGTTAAAATAAGAGTAAGCTATCTCTGTACTCAAATCAACACCAATAATACCAGGTTAAAATAAGAGTAAGCTATCTCTGTACTAATATCAACACCCATAATACCAGGTTAAAATAGGAGTAAGCTATCTCTGTACTAATATCAACACCCATAATACCAGGTTAAAATAGGAGTAAGCTATCTCTGTACTAATATCAACACCCATAATACCAGGTTAAAATAAGAGTAAGCTATCTCTGTACTAATATCAACACCAATAATACCAGGTTAAAATAGGAGTAAGCTATCTCTGTACTGTGTCAACACCAATAATACCAGGTTAAAATAAGAGTAAGCTATCTCTGTACTCAAATCAACACCAATAATACCAGGTTAAAATATAAGTAAGCTATCTCTGTACTCATATTAACACCCATAATACCAGGTTAAAATAAGAGTAAGCTATCTCTGTACTAATATCAACACCCATAATACCAGGTTAAAATAGGAGTAAGCTATCTCTGTACTGTGTCAACACCAATAATACCAGGTTAAAATAAGAGTAAGCTATCTTTGTACTCATATCAACACCAATAATACCAGATAAAATATGAGTAAGCTATCTCT